TTGAAGAGAATTCTGTTTCCTGTGATTGTTCAACGCCTCACATCTCCAAGGCAGATGCTAAAGCATGCATGTATTGGACAGGAGACTTCTTTTCTTACCTTCGAATTCTCCAGGTAGATGACATGATGGGGGTGTGATCCATCTGTCATCCAGGGGTGGTTTCAAATTGTCTTGGCTACATATTTGCACAAGCTGTCTATGACTGGGACTGCTGTCCAGATGGGCTTTAGAGACATCTGTGGCTTTTGAAGGGAAAGTTAGTTTTCTTTTAAGACTCATCCAGTCTTTAAAGTCTCTTAGCCCTTTAGTGTGTTCCTGAGTCTCATGTTGCTACTTCGACTGCCTGGTCATACTGAATAGTTATCTTGCTATTTTGTTACGAGTTAGCTGTGTAGCAGGTGGTGTGGTAGTTAAAGTGCTGGACACTCCCACATAGCTGACCATGGTTTGAGTCCCGGTCCTAGTGGCTTGCTTTCTCACTTTCCCTCTGTCTCTTCCTCTGTGTGCGTGTCTTTCTCTGATCAAATTAAAGTAAATAAATGACTAAATAAAATTAAATAATTAAAAATGTTATAAAAAAGATTTAGCTGTATGTGTGTGTGCTTTAAAGCCATATAAATGTGTGTTCACTTGTGTGCATACACACATATGCACAATGATGTGTGACTCATCAGTGTGAAAAGTAAGATTTTGATCTTTTCAAGGAATTATTTATTTAATTTAATTTAATTTATTTATTATTATTATTTCTAATTTTCTATAGGGCACATGGACTCACCAGAGGGAGACAGCACATGCATGCATGAGAGAGAAAGTGAGATAGCACACCTCCAGGTCTGGGACTTGAACCACGGACACCCATGTGGAAGTCCAGTGCCTTAATCACTACGCCACCTGTTGGCCCCAAGATTTTGAGTTTTAATTAGAGGAAAATCAGAACTATTTATAAAAAGCTTGTATTATATGTTTTAAAAGTAGAAATTCATGAAGATAGTTGATTCTTAAGCACTTCCTAAATGCCAGGGACATTTTACCAACATTTTCCCATTTAATTTTTAACAACTTTAAAAGATAGAGCTGTCTTATCTTAGACATGCGAGAGCTGAGGTTCTGAAATGTGAAGTAACTAGCCAAAGTCACAGTAAAATGCCGGGCCTGGCCTCGTGTCTGTGACGCCTGGGGTCACACACTAGGCCAGGTTTCAGTTAATTTGCAGCCCCTTGTCACATTAACTTCATAATCCTTCTTTCATCTAGTAAAAACAGTAATAAGCACACAATACAACTATTTGCAGTGGCCTCCAGCCAAGGCCATTTGATTCAGAGTTCAAAACCTCCTATTTGTATCATATTTTACTTTGTCAAAATCTAACAAGGGTCGTTTTCACATCTGAGGGAAACCAAACTGATGTCTTTCAATCTAATAGAGAGACATAGCAAATGATTAATTTTATATGGTTTGATCGTTCTCAATATCTACCCTTCCCTATGTTTAGAAAGTGGAAAGCTTAAAATTACTTTTGAAATATTTCTTCCCTAAGGACAAAGAAATGACTAGGTGTCTCTTTCCAAGGCAACAGCTTCTGAACACAGTGAAAATGAAAAGCCATGACTTTGAGAGCTCGTTATCCTTTCTAATGTATCACACTACCTAGTGTCTCATCTCTCTGATGGCATGGATTTTTTATCTATGAATAGCCCTTTGTTAATCATGTATAGGGACTTTGGATATATCACGCTGTTACTGGTATTTTTAAGTACTGAAAAATTCTCCAGTTTTATCTGGATAGACTGGGGTTTCTTTAACATGTTATATGATTAGCAACTGAAACTACAACAGGAAGGAAGGATGTACGCATGCATGAGCATTTATTATTTGCCTAACACATCAGTAGGCACTTCACATATTGTATAATGACTTTGTGAAGTTCATATTAGCTTCATTTTCTAGTAGACTAAAGTTCAGAAAAATTCATTGCTTCCCCCTAGCTGTACGGATAGCAGGATTTGAATCTAGTCTGGCCAACACCAGAAAGACTTCACATTTCTTTGTTATATGGCTCGCATCTAGTTTGAAAAATTAAATGTATAGAATTACATGTCTGGATCCCCTCAAGAAAAAAACTGAGCACTCTTCTTACTGAAGTAACTCATGCACACACACAAATCATGCCTTTCCCTCCTGTAAGCTTCCCAAGGTTGAGACGAGCAATCCCGGAGCACCTAGGAATGCTATTTGGAGTAACTGGAATCAAATATCATTTAGAGCACTTCTTTCTTGCCATTATCTTTCTGGTCACATGAATGTTTCTTTTCTTTCTTTTTTTGGGGGATGGAAAGTTTCAAACATATACTAAATAGAGAAAATACTGTGGTGAGCAACTGGGTACCTAAACCCAGTTTCAATAATTTATTTATTATTTTTATTTATTTAGAGAGAGATTTTTGCTATAGGGTGCATGTACTCGTGAGAGAGAAAGAGACAGAGAGCAAGAATCACCCCCAGGGGGGATGGCCATGCTGTAATCCCTTCTCCTCCATTCTCCTCTCAGGATTTTGGGTATGCACACATGCATGCCCGGCGTGAGTTTTAAGCCACAGGATCTGGAACTCAAACTATAGTCAACTATGTGGGAGTCCAGCAACATAACTGTTAATGCCATCTGGTGGTCCCAATAATTTATTTTTTCAAATTACTTTTATTCGACACATAATAATCATATATATTTATGGGATGCAGTGTCATTTTTATCAGTACATAAAAACAATGTGTAATGATCAAATCAGGATAATGGGCATATCCATCATCTCAAGTCAATATTTTCTGATCTTATTTTTGTTTTGTATAAGAGTGACATAAATTGTTGTTTGTCTGTATTCGGTGGTAAGATAACCGAATTCCTAATTCCTATCCTAGTATGGGAATAGAAACTTTTGTTTCAGTATAAACTGTCAGTGGGTTATCAGCAGTGATTTTTAAAAAGCACAATGTGAGTGATAATAAATCAACTATCAAAATAAGAAAAAGGAGGGATATAAATATTTCACCTTGGTGATAAAGCAAATCAGAAGATGAGTACGTAGACCTGGAGCATAAAAGCAGACCTTTGGGAGCCATTCTGTTCCCACGAGTGCATGCCTAGTGGATCCATTCCTCCAGATTGGAAGGACAGTATTAGAGAACCGTCAGAATAAGGCCAGTGATTACCTGAGAAATACAACTGTCCTTTTCCTCACGGAGTGTCTCTCTTAGGTACCATAGCTCATCTGATGTTAGAGAAATGGAGATTAAGAGAGAAATGTGTTATGCTTTCATTTTTCAATTGCATACATGCTTATGACCTAGGGCATGGATCACAAAAGATGGAGGATAATAAAAAGGATTAGGGTTTAACATTGTAATTATAGTGTGCTTATATTTATTTTTTCTTTTATTTATGTTCATTCACTGTAGTGTGCTTATATTTATCTAAGGATTGTATTTATTTTTGCTGTTGCCTTGAAAGAGTCATTCTGTCATGACCAGACCCCACTGAAGCATTTTTCTTCTACCCACCTTTAGCCATACCTCCTTCCCTCTCTCTTTCTCTATTTCTCTGTCACTCTCTTGTATTACCTTAATGACAGGCTGTAAAAGGGTTCTGTCCTTCCTTCGTATATAAAAACACGTTTAAAATTTTGACAAAGTTATGATTAAACATGTGATTCTAAGAGGTAAGCTAATATAGATAATCCTGGTAACAGAAATGGTCACTGAGGCCAGTGGAAAGCCATAGCCCTTCTGGCCAATTTCTCTGTCACCAGGCGTTCTATCTCTGTCAAATCTCACCTCCAGCTCCAGTTTTCATACAGTAGTGAATCTACTTCCTCTCAGAGCTGTCTCAGATATTTTCCTTCTGGAACCTGGGAAATTTTTCCCCCTTTTTCCTGATATAGCCCTAGAAAAAATTATGGAAAATAAAAATAAACCTTCCTTCTTTTCTGTTTTTATGTTTTAGTAAGAGGGAGGGTGGGAGGGAGGGAAGAAGGGAGGGAGAGAAAGAGAGAGAGAAGAGAGAGAGAGAAGCCAGAGGGACCAGGGCTCCATGGAGAATGATCAGTGTAAGGCTGGGGCCAGGGAAACACCAGAGAGAGAAAGAGAAGTATTTTGACAGGGTTTCTCCATGTCGCGATCCTCCTTCCGTAGCCTCCCAGTTTAGCTAGGGCCATAAGCACATGCCACTGTGCCTGACTTATTTAGATTGGCTCAGGAACTGAACCCAGGTCTCCCATGAGACCTTGGCCACTGGGCAGAAGTGTCCTCCTGCTTGTGGCCCTGTGACTGACTTAGATAAAAATTTGTTTTAGAGTACTTGCCTAGTATAGTGCATAGGTGTCTATATTTATACCTCCCATGGAAGGGAGAAACAATAACTTGTTTTAACTTATCCATAAATTCAGAATCTTGCCCCAAACAAGTAAATCCTTTACTTAATGTGTGTAGACCCAGAATGCTTTTATCTGAAAATTCAATCTATTTATAAAGCAAAGCATAGGACCGTGCTTGGTGATTTTCTATCCGGAATCACCTGGTGCTATTTTTATTTCAGTGCTTCTGTTTTTTTTTGCCTCATGGGTGCATGTGATTTGCTAGACTATACGTTTTGATTTTAGTTCAGAAAGTACAATTATAATACTTACAGGATGATAAAAAAATCATCTAAAACATTGTCTTTGCACCAAACAGAATTGCTTTTCCATTGATGACATAATAAATACAACAAAATAATAACGAGTGTTCATTGGGTGTTTGATCTCTGTTAGAACTGTATTAAGTGCTTTACTTGCATTATCTCAGTTTGCCTCAGAATATCCCTATTAGGTAAGTTCTATTATAATTCTCGCTTTACATATGGGGCATCGAGTCTTGGTTAGCTGACCTGCTTTGCAGAAGTAAGAGCAAAACTGGGATTGGAGCATGTGATGATTGACTCTAAAATTCAAGCTCTTATACATATACAGATACCCTTGGACACAGAAGAGTACTTGAAGGTGAACTTGTCATTGCTAAGGCAGAGGTAAGCATGAAAAGATTTGGGATAATATGGATGGGTTCACTGGGCAAGATCAGGTTGAAAAAGGCAAAGGAAATGAGAAATGGCGGTAGAGAGGAGAGGAAGGATGGTCAGTGGATTAGACAGATAAAAGTGCTAGGGAGATTCGAAGTATGAGAGGTTGGGGACAAGCGATAACATGGAAACATCCACTCTAGTTTATGAATCACTTTAGGAGAAATGGTGGTCTATTGCTTTGCTATTTTGTAACAACATGCTTATCAAACAAGCTAATGGGAATCTACATAAATACACTGCTTTTAGAGTCTGTCTTCTCCCTGAAGGATTAGAATTGGGTTCTAACTTCCTTTCCTGATGCTATGATGTACAATGTTTCCTTCCTCTGTCACTTTTTTTTAAAAAACACCTGAGATTGATTGAGGGAGATAAAACCCACTTATACTTTTGACTCATATTAATTGCCATAGGTTACTAAATATAAATTCTCTGTTTTGGGGTCTCATTTGAAAGCATATTGAGTAAAAATATATATAAAGATAATAACCTTGAAATTTTGAAGGTGTCCTCAATAGCTAGTCTTATGATAGTTTATGATATAATTTGTGCTTGACATTTGATAAAAGGTTTTACCTGCTATGCTTTAATTGGAATAGATAGCTTATCTTTTCAAAATAAAGACTGTTTCTTGATAAAAAGGAATTTGATACAGAAGTAAAATGTGATACTACCAAAAATGTCTAAATGGGAAGAATGATCATTGCATATGATAACTATTGTCTATATACTAGTATGTAAGGTTGATTCATATTTTGAAATATATTCTAAACTATAAAAACCATCACATTTTAAACTCCCTTTAGCTAAGTTTTTAAAATGCCTGTTTACTTTTAAAGTCTATCTGTGTCACTGAGGAAAAATTATTATATTTTAATTGTTAAGACTTCTGATTATGTGAATTCTTTTGATGTTTCTTATGGTCATATAAAATATTTTACTTCAAAGGAAAAATGCTATGACTTTTAGTGCTTTTAGAATTTAAGCTGTTTCCTATTTTGTTGATTAAGACAGAAAAGTATTGAGTATGAATAAAGAACATGCTATGTTGAGAAGAAAATTAAGGTTCCTGATGTTTCTCTTCCAGATAGCACAAAAACTAGGAATACCACAGGAATTTTTCAACATTATTAACCTCTTGACAACATGTGGGTCGTACAAAGGACAAATGAATGTTTTGGAAGGACCGAGAATGCCAATTTTAACAGACTGTTCAATCACTGTAGACAAATATTTGTGTTCTCGGGGATTATTTGATTCTTATCAAAGCAAATTGAATTGGAACCATAGCATGTATTAAGTCATTGGTACTTATTGTTTAATTCCTTTTCCCATAGACGTTTCTATGTACTAAAAGAGCACTAAGTCATCAGTTAGACATACCATGTAATGATTCTTATCATACCCAGACAAAATAAAAGCCTTTTAAGATGCTGCTTCACAAGACAACTGCATAACTTTCCTCACAGGAACTTCTTAAACAAATAATTATTTTAAAAGCAATTGGTTCTATCTCTTACTCCAGGCTAACAAGAACAATTCCAAGGTGTCTAGACCATTCCACATTCCATATGACTAACCATAATATCCAGAGCTTGGAAAATATATAAGCATCTCACAAGAAGTTTTTTTTTTTCTTTTTTTTTAAGAGTTTTTTTTTTCTCCCTATAGAGCATGTATGTTCACCAGAGAGACAGAAAGTGAGAAATCATCCCCCCCCCGGGGGGGGGGATAGCCATGCCGCAGTATTTTCTCCTCCATTTTCCTCCCAGGATCTTGGACACAGATGCACACATGCCTGGTGTGTTTTAAACCACTAGGTCCAGGACTTGAACCACTGTCAACTACTTGGTTGTCCAGCAACGTAACCATTATGCCATCTGCTGGTCCCATACAAGAACTATTCTTCAATACTTCATGAACATGGGTAGTTAAGAAAGCTAATAGAATTAGGTTAACAAGAGAAGAAGACTCAAGCCATAACCATAATCAATGTTATAAATGGCTTCAATTTTATTTAGGAGTTATTGAGTACTCACAACTTAAACATTGCAGATGTAGCTTCTACATGTATCGGAGCTGGTAAATGCACAGACCCTAATTGTTGGCATAAATATTTATTATATTCAATGAGGCAGATACAGTATGGGGTTTTGTACAAGTCACCAATAAGAGGGTACTGTGAACTGCAATGATTATTTTATGTAGTTGTGTTTAGGCTAACCACCCTTTATGCTTATAGTGATGCCAGAATAGGAGTAGAGACAGGAGAAGGAAAATTTAGAGTAAGAAAGTAGGATGAGAAATAAGACAGGTGTTGAATTGCACAATGAAGTCTTTGGTAGTTTGGTGGGCAATTCTGGGGCTATTTATCTGAGTAAATAGGAGGAGAAGTTATTATAGGAGTTAGCACATGAGGAGAGAAGAACAGGAAGAATGGGGGAGGAGACCAATTGATAAGTCTATGTTTCTTGTAAGCAAAATCTGGAATCCCAAACTTTGGAGATCAGGCAGACAGCCAAGATAAGAAACTTTCAAAATGAAGTCTCACTACCAGAGCCCAAAAATCTGGTCACAGAACCAGGATTCAGGTTATCAGAACCAGTATCCAGGGTATCAGCACTAACAAATGACCAATGCAAGTGCTTCTACACCTCCCGCTTTAAGCCCAAATTTGTGAAAAGTTTTAAAGAGCTCGAGTCTACCTATTTATTTATTTCTTCAATTCATACCTATTACATGCCAGGCATTTTATAAGGAGCAGAGACTATTAGTGAACTCATAGACATCTCGTCTATTTTTATAAAGGGGACATACAATCAACTTGTATATAAAAAAAGGAACAAATAACTCTAAGAGTAAATAAACAGGCTGATGAGTCTGAGAATCCAGGGAAGGTGCTTTAGATAGAATGCCAGAGAAAATCTTCTCCAAAGAAGTGATATTTGAAAATGAGAATTAAGTTTAAGATTGAGCAGAGATTTGAGGAGTTGGAAGAACACTCTAGAAGCTAGGTCAAGTGAGGACCAAGTATAAAAGCCTGGAAAGAAGAAAGGCCTTGGCCTGTTCAAGCTTCAGAAAGCAGTGGATTTGGGAGATAGAAAGCAAAGAGAGAGGTGTGAGTTGGGTATAGAAAAAGTGACAAGAACCAGATCATGCCATTAGAAGAGAAAAGCTACTTAACTAAAGTAAGGAATGGGCCAAGTAATCTGTTCTAAGAACAGATATGAGTTCACTTCCTTATGGTTGCAAACTGGAAGATTATAGTGACTAAATATTTTGTCTAAGCAGTCTATACATTGTGAAGAATTTACTAAGGAAATTTCCTACAACAGAGATGTAAATCTGAGCAGACCATTAATACTAGATTGTGGTGTTCAAATTAACGAGAGCCTAGGGTTAAAAAAGTGACTTCAAAGCAAAGCATTACAGTCTAAGAGAGTGGTGGTAGTAGCCAGAGGGCTCTTTCTTTAGACGATGAAACTGCTTTGCAGAGGATAGTGGGGCAGAGTTGTGAGTCACCCAGCATGGGTAGATTTTAGTCAGAGCATAATGTGAGTGATCCTGGAGGCACATGAATAGCAAGATGGGAGAAACACACAGCATAATTCTTCTTGTATTTCCTTTCTTCTGTAGAATCAGCTAAGTCATAGGTCCCTGAAGAAGATTTTCCAATTTGTTAGTAACATATCATGCTGTTCCTTTAAATATTTTTTTAGAGGTTTTTGCCATAGGATGTGTGCACTTGTCAGATAGAGAGAAAGAGAGACAGAGACAGTGAGAGAGAAAGTGAGAAATCACCCCACAGGTGGGATGGCCATACCATGATCCCCTCTCTATTCTCCTTCTGGGATTTCAGGCACACACACACACACACACACACACACACACAGCATAATTTTTCAAGCCACAGAGTCTGGGCTCAAATCATGGTCAGCGTCAGCCATGTGGAAATCGAGCACCTCAACCACTACACTACCTGTTGACCCTATGTTCCTTTGCATTTTTAAGGTATAAACATTTTAAAGTAAACATGAAAAAATTTAAATAGCCACACAATAGTAGAATATGTTGATCCTCTCTTATGTATTAAATTGTATCCCCTAAAAAGGTCAGTTGAAGTCTTAATCCCCAGACAGAACCTCAGTATGTGATCTTCTGTGGAAGTAGAGCCATTGCAGATGCTATTAGCTAAATTAAGAAGAGGTCATACTCAGTACAATGGGCCTTTAATCCAACATGACTGGTGTCTTTACAAGAAGATGAATTTGGACACAGAGTCATGCTTAGTGGGAGGAGACCATGTGAAGATGCAGACACACATCTTTGCCATGCAAAGATGGAGGCACGGCTTGGGGTGATACATACATAAGACAAGGAATGACAAGAACTGATGGCCAACATTCAAAGCTAGGAAAGAAGCATGGGACAGATTCTCCCTTAGAGCCCTCGAAAGGAGTCAATATTACCGATACTTGGATCTCAGACTTTTAGGCTCCAGAGCTGTGTGACAGTGTCAGTTGTTTTAAGCCATCCAGTTTGTGGTATTCATTACAGGAGCCCTAGGAAACAATTCAACAAAACAACCCCTTCCCATTTCTTTAGCCTCTTCTCTTCCCATTCTCCCTCACACACTACAATCCAGTTTCTACCGCTCGTGCTCTTTCTTCCTAGAATACTCTCCATGTTTTCCCTTTGTTGTCAAGAACCTATTTTAAAATAATTTAAAAGTTTTTAAAATAAGAATTATTTCAAGTATGCATAGAAAATAATATGATACACACACATTCTTCCAACAAGCAGATTCACCAGATAACAAATTTTGTGCCATATTTCAAATCTCACCTTTCTACCCTAAAAATGGTATTTCTTTTGAAAAATGTTAAATCATGTTTTTGGAAAAAAGAAATATTACCAAGGAAGCCAATACCTCCTCATGCTCCATCTTCTTCCATTACTCTAGTCTCCTCAACTTTTATTTAATTTTAAAGTAGCACCTAGAACATCATTTTGTAAAGCCTTTCCTTTATCACCTGGGATGACTTAATAACTCTATAATTTGTTCCTGTAATATTTGTATACACAATTTATGTTACAGCAGTGATCATATTATATTTTTACTGCAGTCCTTTTTTCTTTTCTTAAAGAAAAAGATTTGATCATTTAAAATTCTTTAACTTTTGCCAGGGGGTGCATACACTTGCTGGGGAGAGACAGAAGGAGAGGGATGAATGGAGGGAGAGGAGAAAGTACCCCCCTGGCCCATGCTTACAACAATACCCCTCTTCCATTTCTCCTCCTTTTAGGATTTTGGGGATACATGGACATGTGGCCCATGTGTTTCTCAAACCAACAGGTCCAAAACTCAAACTGTGTGGTCAGTCATGTAGAATCGAACCATCTTAACCTACAGCCCATGGACTGACCACGACTCGATCATTTTCAATCATTATCTGGTTCCTAAGCAATATCCAACTGTTGGTTAAGCTAAATTTTAACTTAATAAGCTTTGACCTTCACAAGAACTGTGATATAATCAAGACTAGATTTTTCTTTTTATCTTTTATTTGGAGAAATTAAAACTATGAATTTCACCTATTTAATGTGATAGGTCATATTTATTTTTTCCATAATGCTTCTTTTCCATAACTTGTTATGGTATACTATTGGAGTCTATCTCCTTGTCATCCTGATATTGAGCCTGGTCATGTTTATTCAGGTCAATGGAATGCAGGTGAAAGTGATGCCATGCCAGTTCTAACCTCAGACTTCACCTGTGTTTCTGCTCTCCTCCTTGTCATTCTGCCATTTGCCATAAAACCATGCTGTGAGTGGCTACTGATGCTGGAATGAACAGATATGTGACACTAAACAAAGGCTATTGTTGCCAAGTTTAGTAGAGTCACATGCAAGACTGCAGCTGTGTGAGCAAAATCAAATGCTAGTTGATGTCATTTGCTGAGATTTGGGGGAATCGTTACACAGCATTCTCATAATAAAAGTTTCATGAATCATTAATAAACCTAGCTGGTTGATGATAGAGCCAGATTAGTAGCCCAGAGTCTTTCTACTAAGTTAATTTGTGATTAACCACCATATTCAACCAATATTTGTTATGTGTTTAGTGTAGAAGTCAGAGCACAATCCAACACCACCTACAGTCTCTGTCCTCAAAAACAATCTATTTATACTAAGAGAAACATACAAAGAAAGTAAATTTAAACCAGAGAAAATGACAAACACTTCTAATAGCACAAATGCCCTGAGAAAAAATAATGTGTGGGATAAAGAAAAGGAGATGACCATCTTCAAGGTGAGTGACAACGAAGCAGAGCTGATGCTTCAGGAACAAGTCAGTCTCTCTCTTCCTGGAATGGCCGCAGATAACGGTTTCAGGTTTTCATTTTTCTTTCTTTCCATTGTGTCAACTCAAGTGTGTGCCTTTGCTCTAGGCTAGCTTGTTGTCCTGGTCTGCGTCCTGGGCATTCAGAAAACTATTGGGTTGTTTTGTATGTTTTCACAGAAAAACTGAAAAAGACTTTGTTTCTCTCTCTTCCACAGGGAGCAATTACATACTCTCTCCAGTCCAAGGCTGGGAATGAAACCTGATTTCTCTCAGGTGAGAGATATCTTGTACATGGAAAATTAGGAGAAGATCTTGACTTCAGCAATACTACAGGGAACTGTGGTAAGCACTGAGCTTTTAAAGGCCTTTGTTTTTCATGTTTTGATTGGCCTAGTGAGAAGCCTGGAGCAAGTCGCACACTCATCTGTATCCAGATTAGTGGGACTGAAAAATGCTGACACAGGTTTGCAGATCAGCCCTTGTGGCTTGCCAGGGTAAACTTGTGTAATGTACTGTACATCCCTCCTAACAACAGTGGTTCTTTTGTCACTTGAACAGAGGCTATTAAGAACACAAGTCATTAAAAAGAGCTTTAGAAAAGCAGGCCACATTCTCCAATTGTGTGGCTTAAAGCAAACCTCCTAAAATGTCAGCTCAAGAAGAGTGAAGCATTTAATTAATAACTAACAATAGACTCAGAATCAAAATCCTAATTGATTAGACAAAGTGACACTTCCAAATGTATTTTCTGGATGTTAGAAGAAGCCCATTTTTAAAAATTGGACAATTTAAGTTTAACTGAAAAATTTCTTGAATGTACGTATGTATCACAAGTAAGATACCTTCAAATCTCGAATAGGTCTGGGACTCTCTCTAGCTTATTGATGAAAAGACAAATCAAAGAAGCCATCTTTAGGATTTATTTTTCTTTCTTCTTTTGTATAAACAATTTACCAGAGGGTAGGTTTTTTCACCAGAGAGAGAGTGAGAAAGTAAAGAAGCATTTCCCATTTGGGAGCTGGGGGTGGGTGTCATGCTACAATTCCTTCTCTTCCATTTCTCCCTCCTTTTGGGATTTAGCACAAACATGCATTTGCACCTGGTGTATTTTTCAAGCCCTGGGCCTAGGACTTGAACCATGCAATTGATCATGTTGGATCTGCTGTCTTAAGGACCATGCCACGTCTGACCCAGGTTGATAGCTAAATACTGTTTTTTGCTAGTGTTTTTCTCTACAAACACTAGTTATATAATTGATATCATACAATAATGTAATTTTGTTTCATGCACTTTTATTTCACTTTTGTTATTCTTTTTTATTTTTGTTTTTTGGAGAAGTTTTTGCTATAGGGCGCATGCACTCACCAGACAGACAGAGAGACAGACAGATAGAAAGCAAGAAATCACCCCCCAGGGGGGATGGCCATGCTGCAATCCCTTCTCCATTCTCCCCTCGTGATCTTGGGCACACATGCACATGCGCCTGGCATGACTTTAGGCCACCGGGTCTGGGACTCGAACCATGGTCGACTCTTAGGAGTCCAGCAACACAGCCATTACATAAACTGCTGGTCCCTGTCACTTTTGTCATTCTTTTTTTTTTTTTGGAGAGGATTTTGCTATAGAGCATGTGTGTTAGCCAGCCAGCCAGAGACAGAGAGACAGAAAGTGAGAAATCACCCCCCAGGGGGAATGGCCACACTACAATCTCTTTTCCTCCATTCTCCTCTTGGGATCTTGGGGCATGCACGCACACGCGCCTGGCATGAGTTTTAAGCCATCGGGTCTGGGACTCAAACTGCGGTCAACTACATGGGAGTCCATCGACATAGACATTATGCTAACTGCTGGTCTCAATTTTTGTTATTCTTAATTCAGAGGCTAGAAAGTTTGGGTTCATGAGCTAAATATGACCTACTGCCTGTTTTGTTGGAACACAGTAAGCTTATCATTACATATCATATATTGTTGTCATACTACAATAGCAGAAACAAATGGTCCAACAGAGCCATTGAGGCCAACAAAAGCCTAAAGTATTGCTCTCTGTCCCTTTATAGAAATATTGGGTTGTTGGGAAAGTCATGACACATTTTTGCATAGAAAAATATGTCCTGACTTTTCCGACAACTCAATAGTTTGCCAATCCCTAGGACAGAGCGATAGAGCCTTGTGTGAACAGTTTTAAGGATCCTGTCAACATATATCAGAAGCTTATGTACCCAGTGATACTTTATCAGCCCACCATTGTCTGATCAAATTAGTTGTTTATTGCTTTAACATAGAAATATATGAATATGAAGTAACCATACATGGCAATTAGTTATATATATATGAATATATTGTATACATTTAGTAGATATAAAACAGTATCATAACTATTTTATTGCTTCGATTTTTATTTATTTCTTTGAGCAGACAAAACAATTTTTCTTTTTAAAATTAATTACATTTATTTATTATTATTTTTATTTTGCTATAGGACACGTGCAGTCACTGGAGAGAGAGCGAGAGAGAGAGACAGAGAGACAGAGAGACAGAGAGAGAGAAAATGAGAAATCAAGCAAGCTACCAGACCTGGGACTCAAACCTCAGTCTGCCACGTAGGAGTCCAGTGATTTAACCACCATACCACCTGCTGGCCCTTCATTTTTTTTTTAAGTACTTTATTTTTCTCTTTTTAAATATCCTTTGCTCAAATTTACATAGTTTTTTTTTTTTATTTTTTTATTTTGCCATAGGGCACCTGTGCTCAGAAGAAAGATAAAGTGAGTGACAGAGACAGAAAGAGAGAGGCAGAGAGAGGGAAAGTGAGAAATCACCCTCCAAAGGGAATGGCCACACTAGAATCCCTTTTCCTTGATTCTCCTCTTGGGATTTTGGGCACTCGTGCACACGCGCCCGACATGATTGTCAGACCCCTGATTCTGGATTTGAATCATGGCTATGTGGAATCCAGCACTTTAACCACCACACCATCTGTTGGCCCAGAGATAGTTTTTAAAGAGGTTTTATAAATTTAGAATATCAATTCTTCTTTATTCCTTTCACATTGAATATATTTTCTGTTTTTTTTTTTCCCTTTAATTTGAGACATTGTAAAAGTAGTGATTTAACCAGTATAAAATTTCCTATGTGATTTCTTTTAAAATTTCTAAATTTAGGAAATTTTCTTATATGTCATATTTAGAAAGCATCACACTGCTTATAATTTTAAAAAATTATAAAAGAGAATGTTTTATCTTCAGTGTTCTATATTTTTAAAAAATGTATTTTACTTTTAGAACAATTTTGTACCTACAATATAAAATTAAGGATAGAGTACAAAAAGGTCCCATAAAACCACACCCAGTTTGCCCTGTTATTAGTATCTTTCATTAGTATTTGATATTTATCACAATTAGTTAGCACTATGGACAGATTGTTATTGACTGACATTGATATTTTATTTGAATTTTCTTAGATATTACTTAATATTCTTTTTTCCATTCCAGGATCTTATCCAAGATACCACATTACACTGAGTGGCCGTCTCCTTAGGTTCTTCTTGGCTCGGGACAGTTTCTCAAACTTGTTTCTGATGACCTCGTCAGTTTTAAAGCATAGTGATCAGGCATTTCGTAGAATGCCCATCTGTTAGACCTGGTCTCATGTTTTTCTCATGGTAATGAGTATTGGGGAGGAAGACTGCAGAGGTGAAGTGCTCTTTTTATCTTTTCGTATCAAGGGTACATACTATCACCACGACTTGTCACTAGTGATGCTGACCTTGGTCATCTGGCTGTGTGGTGCTTGTCAGGTTTCTCCAGGTAATATTACTCCTTTTTTCACCCTTTCCATATTGTACTCATTGGAAGGAAATCCCTGTGTGCAGTCCACATTTAAGAAATGGGGGGCTTGGGACCAGCAGTTAGCGTAATGGCTATGTCGCTGGACTCCCATGTAGTCGATCACGGTTCGGGTCCCAGACCTGGTGGCTTAAACTCACACTGGGCGCATGTGCATGCGTGCCCAAGATCCTGAGAGGAGAATGGAGGAGAAGGGATTGTATCGTGGCCATCCCCCCTGGGGGTCATTTCTTGCTTTCTGTCTCTCTGTCTCTCCGTCTGTCTGGCGAGCACACACGCCCTCTAGCAAAAAAAAAAAAAAAATGGGGGGCTAAGCCCCTTCTTCTTGAGGATAGAATACTTACACAAATGATTTGGGATTATTTTGCATCAAAGATTTTTCTCTATTCTTCCTTTTATTTATTTATTTGATTATTATTTATATCAATATGTATTCATGCATATATATTTTATATTTGGGTTATAAATGAATGCTTTCAAAATTTATTTTGTTATTCAAAGTGTTTCAGAGTTGAGCCTCAGGAGCTCTCTCAGCAGGTTCCGGTGTCTTTGACATGCCTTAGCCAATGTAGGATTTTTGATTGTGTGTGTGCTTAAAGCATTTTCTTTATTTATTAAACATTTTTCTTTATTCATAGTACATATGCATGTATGAGAGAGAGAGAGCAGAGGGAGAGACTGCAGAAGAGAGAGGAGCACCCTCTACGGGGGTCTGGTCATGCTGTGATCCTTTTCCTCCAGGCTTCTAGCCTATCAGATCTGGGACACTTACACGTGTGCTGACAGAATGCAATCTGCCTGGGCCAGGGATTTGAACTGTGGTTGCCATGTGAGATCCTGCTTCTCCTGAGCAGCATATTACTACTGCGCCCTGAAGCTAGTACAACCCTTTTTTTTTTCATTTCTGGAACTACAAGATGCTCTAGATTCATTTTGTGTATTTCCTGCCACAGACCTAGAATCAGCTATTTCTCCAATAAGCTCTGATTTCCTAACCCTGGTTTCCTTTATTAGAAATCAAGATCTGGGCAATAGGTATGCAGATTATTACTGGAGTATAGTCACTTTTGGGCCCTCTCACCGGACAGAGCATGGAAATATATTGATATATATGTACATTAAATTGTACACACACACATTTCTGCAAGTTGCCACCCATGTCAATATTAGCTAAGCGTAGTTCATAGCAATGTCTCCAACTCTAATCCATTATCACATGTATTACCATTACCACAGGCATCATTACCACACCCTCTAATCCATTGCCATTTGCGTCATTTCAGCTGTATCCCCTTGCTTGTCTGTAAAGCCCCACTCTCACAGTCAGAGATCTGTCACTGCCTGCCAGTTCCAGTATACATGTGTAGCAATATCAGAATTACTAACTTGTACATTTATGGAAAACAAGTTTACTGACTAGAATAGAGTGTTTATGCACAGTTCCTTTGACTTTTAGTCTTAGAGATGCCACTCATTTTCAAAGCTATTTAGGTCTTTCATCTGATTTTTAATTTTTATTTTGCTGTATTGTCTATCTAAGTTTATATGATTTCAGCCCTAAAGCTGACATGGTGATAAAGGGAACAAGTAGTATTTATGAGAGACTTTCAAATTCCTAAAGGTGATAAAATATACATGTATTAACAATAAATTATTGATCAAGCAGAAAAGCAAATGCTACATTGCAGATAGGAAACAGTACAAAAAAAGTTTATGTGGAATTAATCCCACTGATAGAGGTAAAGAAGTAAGTTTGGATGGAGGTTGTGGGTGTTATGATAAAATAGTTTTCTCCCTTTAAATTTACAAAATTAGGGAGAAGAAATGGAGTTAAGGTGTCTGTGGGACACAGGAATGGTTTATTACCTGTTGTTGTTGATGTGTATAGTATTCTCAACTGAACAGGTCTGGGGTGTATTTCATGTTGGGTAAATTCTCTATACAAGCTAACTGATGTGTGCGATTGAATGTATAATAATAATAATAATTTAAAAGAAGAGAAAAAATGTGTTGCTTTTCTGTTCTCAGCAGAATAAGGACAACTGACATGCCATTAACATTCTATGATAGCTATTGCTTGTACTTGGGAAGAAAAAATAAATTATAATACAAAGATATGTATGGACCTTGGTTTCAAACATCAGGTAACACAAAGATCAAAAAATAGACAATAGAACCAGTGGATGATGTGGAGTTTGGGGCTCTGGATTCCACAAGATCAGCTGCATGGTTTGCATTTTTATTTTTTTTTGGAGAGTTTTTTGCTATAGGACACGTGCGCTCACCAAACAGACAGACAGGGACAGAGAGACAGTAAGCGAGAAATCACCCCCCCAGGGGGGATGGCCACACATTAATCCCTTCTCCTCCATTCTCCTCTCGGGATCTTGGGCACGCACGCACACGCGCCCGGCGTGAGTTTAAGCCACTGGGTCTGGGACTCGAACTGCGGTTGACTACTTGGGAGTCCAGCGACATAGCCGTTACACTAACTACTGGTCCCTGGTTTGCATTTTTAAGCTGACAGCTTAAAAATCATGCCAGGTTCATGTGCATGTGTGCCCCAAATCCCAGGATGAGACTGGATGAGAGGTGATTGTGCCCTGGCTATCCTCTTTGGTGGATGTTTTTTATCTTCTTTCTCTCTCTTTTTCTCTCTAGTGAGCACACATGTCCTTTAGCAAAAATAATAATAATGGTAAATATCACAAATACCTGAAGGTAAGCCATCTGAAATGCTCTATAGAACTCCAGCCACCAGTTATCAGTGAAGTATCTGGTTTTCTTTAGGCAGAGCTCACACTAAAAATGAGAATGTGAATGAGTGTGAACACTTTTTATTTTGAGATAAAATAGGTCAAGTCATCCTCCCTACTTCCCTGCTTGTCTCAATCTACTTTCTAGTTCTCTTGGCTGAGTGTCTATTTGACTATTTAGAAGTAAAATACTATCTTTATCTGTTTCACAAATTACTTGTTGAATTTATCCATTAAAATAGTTGTACATAAACTACAAAATGACATTTGGGTACTTGAACTTAAAGAATATATTGCCTCAATATACTTTATAAACAAACGAACACTCAATAGTAACTCACACTATTGACATATTACTTTCGGTTCATAAAGGACATGTAGAGCCTGACACGTATTAGAAATGGGAAAAATTTATTAAGTGCTTAATGAATTAATGGGTGCATTATAAATAAATAATATCTATCTAAAGTTACCTTTAATTAATTGCTAAGGGCAGAACATAAATCTAGACCTTTCTCTGAAGGACCATACCATGTCTTATTGCTAATGATAGTATCATCAGTCTAGAACAAATGGTACATACTAACTGCTCATTAATTATTATTGAGTAAAAAAATAATAAAAAGGATGGTGGGAGACATTTGGAGGAATAAGAATTTCACAAAGGAGAAAATCATATGCATTTGTTTATTTTGTAAGTGTTTAAATCATAGCTAAAGGGTTGTAGAAGATAACATAAAGCCATACCAGAATTGATAAACCCAAATTACAGGATTTTCATAAACTTGTATCCCTCTTTCATCCCTCTCGTATGAAGTTACAGACTGGTGCTTTCAGAATTTCAGTGGCATTTGGTTTGCTTCTACACAGTTTTTTCCATACATTATTTTTTATTTCCTTTTATGTACTTTTCTTTTAAAGTATACAGCACTAACTTTACTTACTATATTTATATGAACTTACTATATACTTTCCAAGTATATAGCATAACTTTTCTGGGTATGTTTATTTCTTGAATACATAAGGAGAAGGTTTTCTCTCTCTTTTTTTTTTTTTGTTTTCAAAGTCTTTAGACATTTATTTTACAACTTCATGGCGACTACCAATTCATTTTTAAAGACAAAAATGGTAATTTAGAAAATGAAAGGGAAAAATAGCATCAATTTTCCCTCTACACACCTACTTGTTTATAACCACATTTAACATGAGTTGATTTGTTTTCCATCTGTATATTCTACGACTGGCATTATGATGCATTCACTAGCCTAAGTGTGAAACCATATTGATTTCCTTAACACGCTCTACACCACCTACCAATTGACAAGTAATGGCTAGTCGCTGGTACCTTGTTATCACAATATCTTTAAGCACGTTTCAAAACGAAACATTTCTTCTCTTTTCCTTATTGATTCAATCTCTGAAATAGTTTGCTACTTCACTTCATTCCTCATTACACAGATACTGCTTTAGTACAAAGTCAGCTGTAGGTGAAGTCTACAAAACAGTTTCCTATACTTTACTATCCTGTGCTCTGTTTTAATTCATCCTCCCCAGTGTCTCAAATAGAATCAGTCTAAAATGCAAACTAATTATGATATTCTTCTATTTACCCACCTTTTTGTTTGTTTGTTTGTTTGTTTCGTATTTCTTTTGCTATAGGGTGCATGTAACTCATTGGAGAGAGAGAAAGAGAAAGGGAGAGGGAGAAGTCACCCCTCCTGGGGTGAGGGGGATGGGCACTTTACAATCTCTTCTCCTTCATTCTCCTCTAAGGATTTTGGGTGTACATGAGCCTACCATGATATTCAAGCCTCTAGGTCTGGGACTTGAACTGTGGTCAACCATGTGGGGGGTCCAGTACCTTAACCACTATACCACTTTCCAGTCCCTGTTTAACTTCTTTGAAATTTGTTTCTGTTTTATCACATCGATTCCAAACTCCTTGAGAAGCTCATACGCAATTACATCAGAGTCTCTTGTACCCTAACTCACATCTTCACAGTTGCACCTCTAATTCCAAACTGGATGCACTATTGCATCGGAACGGAATCTCATACCAAGTGAACACCATTCAGCGTCCAAGCGTTGGGCAATAAGAAATAGCAAAGCACTGTGGATTTCTCAGCATTCACCTGCTCAGTGATAATGGTGTGATAACTGTAGCAGCCATGTCCTGGCAAGAGCAGTGTGGCAAAGGGGAGAGGACTCTCAGGGCTAAAAGTCTGAGTCAACGTATTAGGCTAAACACCCAGACTAGTTCAAGTGCTGAGGGAAGGAGGGAAGTTTAGTAGGGTGGTAGAAAAAGGAGATGATAAATACTTTAGGACCAGTTGCAGCCGTGAAGAC